GCAGGAGGGGAAAAACACCTAACTGTGAGTGCCCAGCCAGCTGTAGCAACACTAAGGAAGATCTACCTGGTAGTTCCAGGCCAGTTCCTGGATGCCAGGGGTTGCTTTTGTCTTTCTCATATATAACTTTATAATTTTCAGAGAGATTGAGATTCGGGGCAGGGACACTTGAGCCCCATCCAAGTCAGATGGAGGAAGCAGCAAATGCTTCTGCTTGGGAACACTTAAGTGGGTAGCCTGCAGGGATAGAGGAAGAGTGCTATCTTCCCTTACTCCCACCACAGGCTGTGAACCTCTTCAGGGTAAGGACTTTGCTTTTTCATCTTTGTATCCTCCAAAGAATTTAGGCTAATGGTGCTGGTTACTCCATCTATTGAATGTTAGAAATGGAAGGGAAAGGAGTACCAGAAGAGACACTACTTGCCTCTCAATGCCATTTCCTTCCCCATCCCAAAGGGTTTACCTCAAGGGCTCACTTAGCGTTTTTGCCTGGAGAGTCATGTTAGCGGTCTTCTGAGCCTCCAGTTGAATCAACTCAACCTTTCTCACTTTACAATCCTGGAAACATCTACTATGTGTCGGGCACTACAGTAGATGCTGAAGCTACATAATGAATAAGAGTCTTTGCCCTCGAGGAACTTAGAGAAAAGCTGGAGTAAAAGATAAGTAAATAGCCCAATTATTGTTCTGATAGGAGTAAGGGCAAATTACTAAGGAAGCATGTGGGAGCTGGGCATCTAACCCTAATGGAAGGGGAGTAATCAAGGATAGCTTCCCAGAGGAAGTGATGCTTGATCTGGGTCTTGTAGGATAAAAGGGAATTTGTCAGGCAAAAGGGAGGGAGGTGAGGCACTTGCTTAATTCTCCCAGCACATTCCAAAGAGAAGTCTGTGTTCAGGAGGACTGCCTTTGACCGGCTCCTGGGAGACAATCTCTGAGCCCCCAGAATAGCCTGCCTGATAAAAGTGTTTCTGAATGCGTGAAGCCCTGGGCCACGCTGTATCAGTTTGACCTCTGGGAGGCTGGAGATTGAGTAGTTACGCTCAGTCATGCAGGAGCTGCATGCCTATGTGACTGGCCCCCAATAAAACCCCTGGATACCAAGTTTGGGTAAGCTTCCTGTTTGGCCATACTTCAAGTGTGTTGTCACACATCATCACTGGGAGAAAGAAGCAAGTGCCTCTGTGACTCCACTAGGAGGGGGTATCTGGAAGCTTGCACCTGGTTTCTCTTGGACTTCACCCATGCACCTTTTCTCTTTGCTGATTTGAATCTGTATTCTTTCACTGGAATAAGCCATAACTTTGTATAATTGCTCTTCTGAGTTCTGCAAATCCTTCCAGTGACTCAGCAAGCCTGAAGGAGCCTGGTGACCCCTGACACAGCATCCATTGTCTAGTATAGTGAAAAACTAGAAACATCTAAATTAATGCAAGTAATGGAGTGGTTAAAGAAGTTGTTTTATCCATTCGATAAAATACTAGGCAACTATTTAAAAAGATAACAAAGGAAGTGGTTGATGCTAGCTATATTATAAAATTTTTTAAGATGGTTTACAAATAGAAAGCATGTCTGAGCATATATATGTGTATATATATATATATATATGTATGTATGTATAGGAATATATACATATGAACTGTTAACAGTGGTTATTTCTGGGAGCTGGCATGAGGAGACTTACATGATAGGCTTTATACACTTCTTTCTATATAGTTTTAATCTTTTTTCAACGGGTATTATTAAAATTATTCACTGTTAACAATCATAGGTATTGACATTCTGGAAAAATGGGGGAAAAAAATTAAGGGTTAATTTCCTGGACATTTTATTAAGATATCCTAATCATTCCCTCAGCTTTATTAGTTTTCTGTTGGGAATGAGCTTTTCTTCCTCAACGCCCTAAAATGAATATAAGTTCCTTCAAGGATGGGAGTAAGAGACACTTCTGAATTGTTGTTGAATACCCACAAAGCCCAGCTCAGTGAATATCTGTATCTGGGGGGATAATAATGCCTCAATTCCTGAGGCTGAAGTGTATTTACCAGCTTCTGTATTTTTCCTCCTAGCCACTGGTTGGCACCATGTGCCCTTTGGCAAGATACGTTTTCTGTACATCCCTTGAAACAGGGGAAAATGAATATGGCAACGTGCAAAAAAGCAGGATGTTAGGCCCAGGGAAGGAAATTCGTCTTTAGAGGGGCAGCTGGGTTGCTTCCTGTCAAGGAGAAGAGAAGAGGCTCTATGTCCTAGCCCTGGTAGGTGCACGTGTGCACACACACACACATGCACGATGTATCTGTTCATTTTATTATGAGCAAGGCTACATCATTGATAAGCATGAATTAGGCAAAAATTCTAAGAGATAGTCTAGTATGCTGTGGTTTGCATTTTAAGAAGACACCCACGCATTCTATGTAACATGGCCTAACCACACGAGGATACACATCACCCAGCCTTTCCCGTTCTTTGGTTTTCTTCTAGAGCACAGTCACAAGTATGATTCATCACTTTCATCTTTAAAAATATTTGCTGTAAGTGCATATCTGTGCTGAGCAATGAGCAGGGAAACTTCCCCTCTTCTGCCCCATTGCCTCCCCATCATGGTCCAAAGACAAGTTCCTCTTTCTATCTCCAACATGTTGCCTAGGCCCTCCTACACCCAGTGAATTATCAGTAAATGTTTGCCAATTATGTTCTTAATGGGGCTTAAGATCTAGGACAGTTATGAAGATACACATGAAATGTACTTTAAGATCCCCAAATCAAAATGTTGAAGAAAAATATAAATGGGTGATAATAACATAATTCTATTACTTTTTCTGTGTTCATGAGCAGAAGGTGTATACTTACAAAATGGTGAGTTCAGATTTGGTACTGTCTCTGAGGGGCACAGTCTGAAGACAGAGAAAACCCAAGTCTGAATCCCAAACTGCTTCTGACCCTATTACCTATTAATATGTGATTGTATGCCTGTAGAAAGTTATATGATTTCTCTAAGCCTCAGTTTCTTCACCTGCAAAATAGCAGTAATTATAGCCATATTACAGAGTTCTAACAAGAATTAACTTATCAACATGTATTATTAGTGGGAGAAAGAAATCCCAAGCTGAACCATTGCATCAGAAGCAGCTCGGAGAGGATTCCATGC